GGGTGTGGGTGTGGGTGTGGGTGTAGTTTTTATATTTCTACCCACACACGCACACGTACCCCCACCCACACCCACACCCACACCCACACCCACATCCCCACTCACACCAACACCCACACCCACACCCACACCCACACCCACACCCACACCAACACCCACACCCACACCCACACCCACACCACACCCACACCCACCCACACCCACACTCACACCCACACCCACACCCACACCCACACCCAAACCCCACCACACAACTGTTTTACCTCGTATATAGTTCTTGCTCAAGTCTAATTTAACTTCTTGGTAAACATGTTGATTAGGTATTGACGGCAGGCGAGATAGTGCAGTTAGAAAGAGTTTCAGATAATGAAACCAATCTTCAAATTTGTCTCTCTCTCGTTTTTGATTGTAATGTAGTATTCAAGGCAAAATAGAGACATTCATTAGATGGTTTTCATCCCATAGAATAAAGCATAACTGAAGCTGATTCATCCTGTGTTAGACCATCGGCTGGCTGTTTACATTTCTGTTGAGCAACATAAACATAGCTTTGAATGGTTGGTAGAAGCGAGACAGCCTTTTCAAGTGAAACAATCGGCATTTTCTCATAGCCGCTGATTAGCATAAGAAGCTTGTGTGGTTCTTCAGCAATATCAGTTAAACGTAAAATATGTTCAGTGGTCTCGTCGTCAATATCTATGGCTAAATTACATATGCACAAGAAGGTGTGGGTGTGAATGTAAATATTCTATTGACACCACACCCACACCCACCCACATCCTCACCCACCCTCATCCACACCCACACCCACAAGAAAATATTTTTCAAGAATCTGAGAAAAAAAAGATTTTCATAAGAAAAATGTCAAGCATGGTTTAGTTTTTTATTTGTATCGATCAATTGCTGATTGATACACATTATAAATATACAGATGACTCTGTTTCTCGATTACTTTCATTTTGCTTCATAAAGATGATTGATGACAAAGCAAAGAATAAAAACATATTTGCTCATTGTGATTCTGTCCACAAAATTCATACGAAACAAAAGAATTTTTTCTATCGCGTGCAGCATCAGAGAGTCGAATAGAACAAAAAAATTAATTTACATTTGCCATTTTCTACCTTAAATTTTTATCGAAGGTTGTCGTTTGAATTTGATTACATTCGATGTCGACAAACAAAAAAATGGTAGAAAAACGATCATCAGTCAGATTCGAACGTGAAGAACATCAATTTCGTATTCGATTCACAGATGAATCTGATTATCAGAACAATACCGAAAGTATTTTTTCACCAGTTATTCCAACTGCAGATGAGAACATCAACTGGTTGGATCAGTATACAAATGCTCATCGTATTGCTGAGGAGAATATGAAATTTATGTTAACATGGCTTCTAAAAATTCCCTTTGTCGATCTTTTGAATGAAGTGAAGATTAACTATATTGGTCGAATATGTGTTTTTAGTACTGAAAATGATCGACTTAGAATTCAACAATTCATCGATCATGCTATAGAAAAGCATGATACATGTTATCTTATACAAGCATACACTGCTAATACATCATTCTTCGGACAACTGAATACACATCTTGCTAAACGAGGTAAACATCTATCATAATACAACATGAATAAATTAATACTTTGATATTAATAGGATCGACTTTTAGATTCGAAAGTAAAATGTTAGATCGATTGTGTGATAATGAAATACCTATGAACTGTGGAGAGTATATCTTTGCTGCATGTCTTATTCATCATCCGTCTGTCGATCCATTTTATCGTGCATGTGCTCTAACATATCGAGGTATGAATTTAAATCAAAGCGATCTAGACCAATATGTTCCAGGTGCTCGTATTCTTACTCGTTCTTTTCTTTCGACATCAAGACGACCCGAAGCGGCATGTTTATTTCTAGATTTCATCACTGGACTAAAACGTCCCGTTCTATGTGTTTATCATATCACGCAATCACAAACTGCATTGCATATCAGTGACGTGAGCGATTTTCCTGAAGAAGAGGAAGTACTCATTCGACCGTTTGCTGCATTTTATGTCAGTAAAGTGGTTATCGACAGTTTCAAATGCGAGAGTGGAGGTAAAGCTACACAAATCTTTCTCGATGAAGTACCATCAAGTACTGAACGATGGCAAACGAATAATAATCAATCAGACGAACAGAATTTAACGGATTTCTACGATAGCCAAGGTCGATTGATCAGTATTAATGAATGTTTCTCTCGTTCAAGAAAGAAAAACACATCTCTACTCATTGAAAATGACAAACAAAAAATAGACTCGAATTATAAATCATGGAATTCATTATTAGAAAAAAATAGTAAGATAATTGTAGAGATTTTGCCCATGTTATCACAGCACGAAGACGGAATTTCACGACATTCACGTTACTTCGAGTCCATCAAATATTTCTTCACACAATATTGTCTAGCAGAATATAGTATATGGACACAACCTTTATTAGAACAATTGTATGAAATAATGCTCACAATCAAGAAATTACTCGAAGACAAGCAAAATGGAAAGAATTATGATGCAAATTACCTTCAAGTATTGTTTGCACGTGTTGAACAACGATCAAGAAATATTGACTATGGAATTAATTTTAAAGAGGATGAACCGTTTATTATTAAACAACTCGAATATGAAACTGTCCTTGATCAACGTCGAAAGCAGAGTGATGTATCTAAATCGTTATCTGCACTCAATGAGCGCTGCTTTGATCAATGTTTGTCGTATGTTCAGACGTGTATTGACCTTCATTCACATATCATCATAACCGGTATCGATAAAGATAATGTTGAATATCTTGCTACTCAGTTAAATATAATGCCATTAACAACAACTGAAAAAGAATATTTGTCTCAAAACTGTAATCCACTTATGATTCCACTACAAAGTTTTGTTACATTGAATACTATAGATTCAGATGTATCAGATCATATCGATCAACTATCGTTTGTAGAAAGTAAACGACGCTCTCTTATTGATAGTGTCAATAAACAAAGTTTGGTTAATGATAGTCGTGATCTCTATCGATTACTTGCTGAAACACCTTTGTTGCCATCATCAGAACTGCATTCGAGTTCCTCCTTCCTGAAACAAACAAAATCTATAAATAGTATTACTGATGTTATGAATAAATATCGTTGGATTGTTATTCTTGGTGATCCTGGTAGCGCAAAAACAACTCTTACACGTTGGTTGACACTACAATGTGCAACAAACTTTATGCAAAAATACAAATCTAATGATCAATTAACAGCAAGAGTGCCTATTCTTGTTCGTGTTGGAGAAATTGCCAGTGCGCTTGATCAAAACTCATCTCTTTCATTGATAGATTATTTGTGTCATCCAACATGGTATGGTAAATCGCTTATACCAATGAATAATGATAATGATGGACGATTTCTTTGTGAATATATTCGACATGGTCATACATTGATCATTCTTGATGGACTTGATGAAATACCTAATTTTCGACAACGACAACACATAGTACAATTGATTGAAGAATTTCTTCAAGAATGGACTGTTTGTCCAGTTACATTTATCGCACCATTCGATAAACCAATCCTGAATGATTGGGTTTCTCCATCATCTTGTTCAACTATTGGAAATCAAGTCATAATCACAAGTCGTAGTGTTGGTTATTACATGTGTCCAATTGCTGCGGCACGCATTCCACATTATACTCTTGCATCTCTAAGCTTGACAGTAATGAACACTTTTATTGATCATTGGTTTTTCAGTGTATATTCATCACTTAAAATATCGGAGTTCAAATCAAATCAAGCTTTGACTAGTATTAATAGATTATCCGATGAATTGAAATCAATACTGACCAGTGATGAAGAAGTACGAGAACTAATATCAAATCCAATGATGCTTGGAGTGTTATGTACGTTAATATTGTTACAATCAAATGAAAGTATTCTTTCTCTTGGAAAACATCGAATATGTCTATTAGATACAATGAGTAAATTCACGCTGAAATCATGTCCACAGACATCTGATAGACGAAATGTTTTTCTACAACTACTCATTGATATTGCTATCTATCTACATGAACATTCATCGTCAGGTCTTATTGAAGAACTTGATACGAAAAGTATTCTGCGAAGATCAGTTAATCATAATGAAGATATTGTCAATGATTTTGTCAAGAGAATCGATACTGAAGTATATCTATTTGTTCCTCGTGGCTTATGTATTTATGGTTTTTCACATTTAATGTATGAAGAATATTACGTGTGTTTGCATCTTCTAACACTTGAAGAGAATCACAAAGATGATAGTCGCTGGGAATGTATTGCTAATCAGTTTCATCATTATGTTTTTCGTGGTGCACGACTACGTGAACCATTAGTTTTAGCACTAAGTTACATTAGTTGGCAATGGTCAGAAATTGATTTTAATTCATTTTGTAATTGTTTGTTACATAAGAAAGATATAAATCAATTTAATGATCTTATACCAATTGGAGCTATTTGTCTTTTAATCTCAATACACGATCTTGTGCGTTTGCCTTCGACAGAAATTTTACAAACTATATTGAATCAATGTATAAAAGCGACTTTAACTAATAAATGGTTTGACAACTTTCCTGCATTTGTTGAAATATTGAAAACAGCGATAAATAGTTTACCAGTTACATTCGTTCATGAATGGATGATTAGAATTGCGAAAGATATGATTACGACTATTGGTGAACTTGTTTTACAAATGGGTACTTTACCACTTTGGTTTGATCAATATATTTGTGATCATATGTGGAATCAACTTGTATCAACAAATTATCGATTAAGTTGTTGTTTATTTCCAGTGATTTCTACCAATGACAATATATTATTACCTAGAAATGATCTTTGTCATTATATGATTAATAATAACATAAAAGTTGACCAAATTCATCCATTAATTCTTTCAATTATTATTTGTCTTTGCGGAGGCTTGAGTAGATCCAAAAATGCTGAGAATATTATTGACTTTTCCCCAGAATTTATGCATCGTAACTCTGATTATACATCAATCCTTATCCAATATCTTCACTCCGATCCTCAAACACTGTTAAATTATTGTCATCATGAGATTTCGTTACAATCATTTTATCCATCCATTGATCTTCTTGTAATGTGTTCTTGTCTCGAAGGTTGTAAAGATGAATGGTTAACATGGTCATTAATCCAACAATTACAAGATTTTGCCATTTATATTTGTAGTATTTATTTAGCGAAAGATAAACCGAATAATATCTTCAGACCTAATACAGAACAAATTATATTGTTATTAACTTCACTAATTAATTGTACTGATCAGGATACTTCAGGTAATTCTCTAACGTCATTTATTATTATTGCACTATCCCGTATATTATTAATTCGTGACAAAGATTTTAAAACGATTAATTTACCATATGAAATATCTCATTTGATTGAATCACAATTAAATAGTGAATTATTCATTTTATCTCGATCATCTCAACCTGATCAAATACCAATGGTATTTCGTCGTTTATTATCATCTCAATGTCTATCAACTTCACAATGTATTTTTTTATCAGCAGCATATATAATTGAATTAGCTATTGATGCTTATGAACGATGGTGTAATATAGTTCCATCCATATTTACTGAAAATAATATTTACGAAATATTAACATTTGAAATAGCTCAATGGATCAATACACGAATACAAATAGCAAATGACGAAGAATGTCGTCGACTTAGTCAATCTTTATTCAAATGTAAGACATTTAGTGATAATAAAACATGTCAAATTCTTATTGATTGGCTTTCATTCATTGATAATCCAAATCTTTATCAATTTTCTTATCATGCTGCATTTCTTCTTTTCAATATCAATTCAAATGCCACAAAAATATGTTTTCAATTGTTAGGAAATGAACTCGATGATTTTCGTCGTCGATCTAAAGAACTCATCAATCAAAATATTATATCAAGTGGGCATTTAGGACACGAAGGATTGAAATCTCTTGTTTATATCAGTCATAATTGGACACCTACGATAACACTTTATTCTCTTGAGTCGTTCGATAAGAGTCGATTACGTCTGACACACAAGTATCATTTAAATTCTTTATTTGATCTACTAGAAAATATAGAAAATACTAATATATTGAGAGCATTTTCATTTATATTTGATCCACCAATTCAAGTTGATTTTATTACACGATTAGAAAAATGTCATGCTGCAACAGAGGATTCTATCGTTACTGCATTAATCATTTTTTCGCGTACAAAAGGCAAATGGAATAAATTTGAAGTCAATCGAGGTATTGCTATTGTTGTTCACTTACTGAATCAATATACAAGTTCAAATAAAGTGAGTAGTGCAGCGCTATCTGTTTTTATAAGATGGAAGTCTTATAATTATATCAAACATATTATAATTCAAAATTGTTATCCTGAAAGTACACGTATTCATGCCATACGATGGTTATATAGGAAAGGTAGATGTAAAAGCCGATGGCAGTTACTTGCATGTATCACATCGACATCGTCATTGTCATCTTCTATTATCGATGCAGCTTGGGAGGGAAGAATTTGGTCACAATGCCTATGTTTAACTTACGATAATCAACAACCATCAGTGAAAACTCTCTTAGATTATTGTTCTAACGATCATTTAAGAGTTTTTCGCAGTCTAATAGCATTACAATCCGATCGTACAGATGTATCATGGATAGATGATTGTGGGATGGTACATCGAATATTTGGAGAATTTTATACTGAATATAAATTTGAAACTATGGACGCTGTATTTGTTTATACTATTTGTATCAGTTTAATAAATGCTCAAAATAATCCATCCTCAACATTATGGGATACGAACCTCTTACTTGCAGCTGAGTATATTAAAAAACGCGAAGTCGAGTTTTTTCGTGCTATTCAAAATAGCATACTGGGAGAACAAGACTTTAAAAAGGCGCTTTATATCATCAGCAAACAGAATGGTGTACGACGACGAGTAGCCATCCTGAATTTACTTGTTTATTATGGAGAATTAACGATGGAGACTGCTCAATTGTTTCTTAATATGTGCTTTGAAACATATTATCACCAACAAAATGCTTATAACTTGATATGGCGTTTAAGACGTGTATCGAATAGACTTGTTAGTGAATATCTGTTAGAGAAACTGAAAACTGAATCATTGCAGCAACGTTACATAGCGGCTCTTCTCCTTGTACAATTAGCTGTGAATGATCAAATATCAATAAATACAGTCTCCATATGTATCCGAAATACTATTAATGATCCGATATCAGCTAATGATGTTTATTTGACTTCCATGTTGTTCACTACTAATAATTCTTACATGACTGAACCTTATCGACGAGGACGTCTAGATCAAGCACTTACTACTTTACTCATGCAATTCACATCTATTGCTGGACAGCCTCTCACCCAAGAATATAAACCATACAAACATTACAGTGAGTTTTATCAGAATAGTAACCTTCTATTTGATCAAATTCGACAAGCTCCACATGTTATTTCTTGTCGTTACAAACCAAAACATCTAAGAAAACTCATAAATGAAGATGACCTTGACGATGAACTACAGGATTTTTATATGATGTGAATCTTTTTTTATCTCATCCCAATTTGTTTCGACATATATTTATTCATTAAAATAAACATTTCTATGCTACTTTTGTCTAACGATGTAACATCAATCTGTATCGATCTCTTTGAGGGTGGGTGTGGGTGTGGGTGCAGATTTGAGCAAAATAAAGACACACCCACACCCTCCATCTAATCAACAGTCATTTACACAAATTCTTTCATTCATTCATCAGATGATTCCTTTTATGGTCAACATAACAGCAGCATTAATAATTATTGTTGCAATTACTCGATCGAAAGCTCATGCTCATAAGAAAACTACACTTAGTACTCTAATGGATCAATCACGGGAGGGTGTGGGTGTGGGTGTGGGTGTGGGTGTGGGTGTGGGTGTGGGTG